GAAAGCTGAGTACATCTGACTCCCTTTTAAGTAGATCTGTGAAGTGTAGTTAATTTTAGTGTGATTAGTGGCAGAACCAAGATCAGTCAGCTTTTTTCGTGCAAGGAAACCAGTGTTGCCTATCCCCCATCAAACACCCCGCCCCCTGCAGTTAAGTTGGGAGGTCAAATTCCTTTGTTCCCTTACTACTTGCTGTGTGATTTCCTAATCATAGCTGGTGATACCCAGTTCATGTAAATACCAATCTTTGATCCTTAGCCATGAGGATATCATTTACCCTTTGTATTTTAATACTGTTACCTCTATCCCTTTTGTTATGGCATTCACCGGGTTTCTAAGGAAAATCAACTTTTCTCACTAAGGCATTTGGATGGGTATGTGAATAGCAAGGGTTCAGATGGATACGGGCCAAATGCTGGCAATGGGACTAGACTTATTTAGGATATCTGGTCAGCATGGACAAGTTGGACCAAAGGGCCTGTTTCCATGCCGTACAACTCTATGACTATTAGTTAGAGCTTGTTTAATAAAATACTGAATTTTAGATATTACTTTGTGTGAGTCCTATTGGAATTGTGTGGACTTTTGTATTTCTTTCTCTCTCCCTCACTTAATCTCATTCTCCCCTTCCTTATCTTTTTGCATTCCCACCAAGCTTTGTATCGTCAGCAAAACAAAGAAACAGACTAATGTACAAGGCGTTGCTTCCCAAACCTTAACCTCAAACTGAAATTTGAAAGTTAGTGCAGCCCTCAGTGAGAAGTGCAAGAGTCGAGTTTTGGAAAGAGAGAGCAGGGACTGTAGTGGTTATAACTTGTCTAGGCTCCTTGGCAGCCATTACTGCATTCAAGCTCGAGCACAATTTCAACTTGTATCCCCAAACACACAAAGGCCTGCCCCAAGTTGTTAATGTACACTGTAAACATCCAAGACTGATCTTTTCGGTGTTCCTGGTCACAGCCTACTGACTTGAAATTCTGCTTTGTTTTCTGTCCATTGACCAAATGCTCCAGCCATGCTAATATGTGATTCCAATTCTACAAGCCTTTATCATCTCTAACCCTTGGTTTGGCATCTTATCAAATGCCTTTCAGAAACTGGAGGGTACATTTACTGCTAGCCCCTCATCTATCTTCGCAGTTAGAAGCTCAATCTGCACATCACCTCGGTATCTAAACTAACATCAACTGATTATATGTGCAGAATGTAAGAATACATACCCAAACAAATATGCCACAATTGAAGTCATTTTAATTAACAACAGGAAACTGGGTCATGTAATTTATAGCACTCTGATTTCAATATGGAGACCAAGTCACTAAAACAGGCACTCAAAAATAGGAATGAAGAGCATCTGTTAACCATGGCCCTTGTCTATGACTTCCTGCTTCTTCTGAATATTTCCAGAAAAGGTTGAGAAAATACCATAAGTTTCACATCACATAGCAGAGTAACCACAACTTTGGGACACTGCTGTGTAGACAGCTGACATTGGTCAACATAAATCTCCCACGAAAGATTAACAAACTATCTCCACATATGAGTGCAATTTTTTAAAAGAAAAAAAAACAGGTCACTGGTACTAAGTTGATCAATAAATTCCTTTTGGAGATAGAATGATCTCTAGTTATTGACATTTTTTTTGAAAAAGCAGAATAATAAAAACATTTAACTTGTAACTGATGTTCAGAGACTTGGGTGTACATGTAAGGAACAGAGTATGCAGTGCATTAAGCAATGAAAGTAGATAGAAAAGCTATTTAATTCACCTGTTCAAACATGTTATGTCTCTTGAATAAGTGAGATTTGAACCTGGGTTTACTGGCTTGGAGATAAGGGCATTATCACTAGCAACAAGAGTCCTCAGTAATTTTTTCATTCATCCACTGGATATGGACATTGCTGGCTGGACCAGCATTTATTGCATACCCCTAATTGCCCTTGAGAAGGTGGTCGAGTTGCTGCCTGAATCGCTGCAGTCCATGTGCTTTAGGTAGACTTACAATGCTTTTAGGTAGGGAGTTCAGGATTTTGACCCTATGACACCGAAGGAACGGCAATTATGTTTTCATATCAGGATGGAAAGTGCAAGTGGTGGTGTTCCCATGTACCTGCTGCCTTTGTCCTTCTAGATGGTAGTATTCGTGGGTTTGGAAGATGTCCAAGGAGCTTCAGTGAATTTCTGTAGTGCATTTTGCAAATGGTACACATTGCTCAGTAGCAACATTGGAGAACTGAATGGATGTTTGTGGATATGATGCCAATCAAGTGGCCTGCTTTATTCCAGCTGGTGTCAAGCTTCTTGAGTACTGTTTGAGCTTTTACATTCCTTGAGCATGCGTGTCCTGGAAAGAAGTGTTCTGCATCAGACTGCATTTCTATTGCCAATGTTGATCTTACTCCCCAGGTCAAATGTAAAATCAAAGAGTAGCATATAGATGTGCTGTTGCTTCATTTTTTTTTTCAGGAGAAAAGTATTTGAATATGTGTATACTCAGCGAATGGTCACTTATTCATTAATTTGACTATTGAATCCTGTGAAAAATGAATTATGGTTAAGAATGAAAAAAATCTTGCTTTCTAAAATTGACCATAATTTAGATAATACCTTCAATTGTTTGAAAATTGCTGATAAGTTGATTGTAGACATTAATCATTAACTAGATTCGGCATTGAGCCATATGGGATCCTCAAAGATAACAAGGTGTAGAGCTGGATGAACACAGCAGGCCAAGCAGCATCAGAGGAGCAGGAAGGCTGACGTTTCGGGCCTAGACCCTCCTTCAGAAATGGGGGAGGGGAAGGGGGATCTGAAATAAATAGGGAGAGAGGGGGAGGCGGATAGAAGATGGATAGAGGAGAAGATAGGTGGAGAGGAGACAGACCGGTCAAAGAGGCGGGGAAGGAGCCAGTAAAGGTGAGTGTAGATGGGGAGGTAGGGAGGAGATAGGTCAGTCCAGGGAGGATGGACAGGTCAAGGGGGCGGGATGAGGTTAGTAGGTAGGAGATGGGGGTGGGGCTTGAGGTGGGAGGAAGGACAAGTTAGGGAGGCGGGGGCGTGCTGGGCTGGTTTTGGGATGCAGTCGGGGGAGGGGAGATTTTGAAGTTTGTGAAGTCCCATGAGGAGCTTGAACAGTTCATCCACTTCATCAACACCTTCCACCCCAACCTTAAGTTCACCTGGACCATCTCTAATACCTTTGTCTCCTTCCTGGACCTCTGTCTCCATCTTCAGCAACCACCTAGAAACCGATATCCATTTCAAGCCCACCGACTCCCACAGCTACCTAGAATACACCACCTCCCACCCACCTTCCTGCAAAAATGCCATCCCGTATTCCCAATTCCTTCGCCTCTGCCGCATCTGCTTCCAGGATGAGGCTTTCCACTCCCGTACATCTCAGATGTCCTTGTTTTTCAAGACCCGCAAATTCCAGCACCCTGCCACCCCACCCCCAGTGGTCGAGAACGCCCTTGACTGTGTCTCCTGCATTTCCCGCAACTCATCCCTCGCACCCCCTCCCCGCAATAACAACCCAAACAGAATCCCCCTCGTCCTCACGTACCACCCCACCAACCTCTGGATCCAACGCATCATCCTCCGACACTTCCACCATCTGCAATCTGACCCCACCACCAAAGACATTTTTCCGTCCCCACCCTTATCTGCTTTCTGGAGGGACCACTCTCTCCACACTCCCCTCCAGCCCCACCTCACCCGGCACTTTTCCCTGCAACCGCAGGAAGTGCTACACCTGAGACTACACCTCAACCCCATCCCAGGCCCCAAGAAGACTTTCCACATCAAGCAGATGTTCACCTGCACATCTGCTAATGTGGTATACTGCATCCGCTGTTCCCGTTGTGGCCTCCTCTACATCGGGGAAACCAAGTGGAGGCTTGGGGACCACTTTGCAGAACACCTACGCTCGGTTCGCACCGAACAACTGCACCTCCCAGTCGCGAACCATTTCAACTCCTCCTCCCATTCCGCAGGCGACCTGTCCATCCTGGGCCTCCTGCAGTGCCACAACAATGCTACCCGAAGGTTGCAGGAACAGCAACTCGTATTCCTCTTGGGAACCCTGCAGCCCAATGGTATCGATGTGGACTTCACCACAAGCTTCAAAATCTCCCCTCCCCCGACCACATCCCAAAACTAGCCCAGCTCGTCCCCGCCTCCGTAACCTGTCCTTCCTCCCACCTATCCCCTCCTCCGACATCAAGTCCCACCCCCATCTCCTACCTACTAACCTCATCCTGCCCCCTTGACCTGTCCGTCCTCCCTGGACTGACCTATCTCCTTCCTACCTCCCCACCTACACTCACCTTTACTGGCTCCATCCCCGCCTCTTTGACCGGTCTGTCTCCTCTCCAACTATCTTCTCCTCTATTCATCTTCTATCTGCCTCCCCCTCTCCCTATTTATTTCAGAACCCCCTTCCCCTCCCCCATTTCTGAAGAAGGGTCTAGGCCTGAAACGTCAGCCTTCCTGCTCCTCTGATGCTGCTTGTTCATCCAGCTCTACACCTTGTTATTTCAGAATCTCCAGCATCTGCAGTTCCTACTATCTCTGGGATCCTCAAAGATTGGGTTTAATGTCTATTATCGGAATGGTGTAGAAGGCTCAGGTGCATGAGTGAAACTGACTGGATGATAAGTGTAAGCAGTACCTTGCTAATTTAGCTTTGTTCACTTCTTTAAGAAAACAAATGCAGAAATATTTGATTTCGTAGCATTTCACAGCAAAGCTTTATTCTCCTCGTCAGAAATATCCTTTGTTCAACAACTAGTATTATCTGGGGATAGAGATACTTGCAGTGCACGCTATAAATAATTAAGTTGAAGGCAGCCAAACGTATTTTTTCCACTTTGTTGTACAATTGAATCGTTTGCACAGTTGAGGTTGTATCCTGAGCACTGGTAACAATGCCATGTGATTTTTTTATTTGCCAGTTTTTTTCACTATATTTACACAAAATTTTGTTTAACAGGTGAGAATTTCCCAACTCTACAATGTCACAATCTTCAGACAAGTTTAAGGTAAGTTTTTTTTTTAAAACAATGAATGGAACTTTTAAAATTGGTGAATTAAGTACATTTGTTTTCCCTCTTCTCTAAGAGACACTTGAATGGATTTGTTCTGGGCTGAGACTTGTGAAGTGTTTGAATGCCTGCATTGAGTTGTGAGACACCTGATCTATGAATGGGTAAATATGCCTGAAAGCAACTTCTCTAGGCTGCCTTCCCCTCTTTCTCGATTAAAATGTCGAAACCAAGAGTAGTAGTGGAGCAAAGGATGTTTGAGCCTGCTCTGTGCCATTCAGTGTGATTGTGGCTTATCCTCTGTCAGTGCCATATTCCTGCTTTATCCATATCCCTTGACTTCCAATAGCTTAAAAATGAATCTACCTCTTACTTGAATATTTTCAGTGAACTTGGTCTCCATAGACTTCTGTAGCAGAGGATTCCACAGGTTTGCTACCCTTTTTGAAGAAATTGTTCCTCTTCTCAGATCTAAATGGCTTACCCTGTATCCTGAGACCGTGACCCTTGGTTGTCACAAGCCCCCAAACAGGGGAAAAAAATCCTCATTGGATGCAATGTCCAGCCCTGTTAAGAATTTTATAGTTGCAATCCCAATTCGCTATCATCCTTTTAAACTATAGTGAAAGCAGGCCCCGTGGAGCCAGTTTCTCCTCTGGGCAGTCTGCCATCCCCAGTATCAGCCTAGTGCAAGTCTGTTGCACTCCCTCTATGGAAAGTATAACTACGTGCTATGCTCCAGGTGTGATTGTACCAAGGACCTGTATACTTGCAGTAAGACATCCCTACTTCTGAACTCAATTCCTCTTGCGCAGAGGTCAATATACCACTTGCCTTCTGAGTTTCTTTTTCTGCACTTGCCTGTTAGCTTGCTCTCTCTCCATTGATGCTGTCTGGACCTGTTGTGACTTCCAGCATTTTTTTCAGTACAGATTCCAGCATTTGCAGTAACTTGCTCCTGTCCGATTTCATTAGTTAGTGTTCAAGATCGCCCAAACTCTTTGTGCATCCGTGTTTCCCAGTGTTTCACAATTTAAATAATACTGTTCTGGTTTTCACACCGAAGTGTATAACTTTACATTTAGCCATTGTTAAGCCACATTTGACACTTGTTTGCCCACTTGCTCAACCTATCTATATCACCTTGAAGCCTTCTTGCATCCTTTTTACTATTCGCAGTCCCACCTAGTTTTGTTGTCAGCAAACTTGGAAATGTTGCATTTGGTTCTCTCCAGATATATACACCTATATAGTGATTAGCTGAGGCTCAAGTACTGATCTTTGTGGTACTCCACTAGTCACTGTTTACCACCCTTGAAAAAAAGCCCTTTTGATTTACACATTTTCCTGTCTATCAACCTATTTTCAATCCATGCCAATATATTATCCCTATCGTATATGTTTTGATTTTGTTCCACAAGCTTATTGGATGGGACCTTATCAGAAGCCTTCTGTAAATCCAAATACATCAGATCATTAGTTCTCCTTATCTTTTCTACTAGTTACATGTTCAAAAAATTCCAACAGATTTGTTAAGCATGATTTATCTTTCATAATCATGCTGGTTTTGTCGAATCCGGCTAATACTTTGCAAGTATTCTGTTATCATGTTTTATAGTAGACGCTAGCAATTTCCCCACCAGTAATGCTTAGGCAAACTGGTTTGTATAATTCTGTTTAAATAGTGGGTTATCTTTGCAACCTTACAAACTATAGGTTCCAGAGTCAATAGAATTTTGGAAGGTGACCACCGATTAATCATATTTCTGTGGCCACTTCCTTTAGTACTCATGGATGCACGTTATTGGACCTTGGCGATTTGTCAGCGTTCAACCCTGTTAATTTCCTTAGCATTATTTTTTCACGAATACTGATTTCTTCAATTCCACCCTTTCTCTCGACTCATGAACTGAATGGCTCTTTCAGCCATTTTCTGCGTAAAGTTGAGAATTGGATAGTATTAGTATCAGTATTAATCTGATAGATTGGTGAATGTTACTTAAAGGGATGATGGTGGAAAGGCAATTTAAATAATCAAGTGCGCAGGTGAACTGCGACAATTAGTCATTCCTGTCAGGTGCAAAAGTAAAATGGCAAAGGTCGCCAAATATTAGCAAGTACAGTATGAGATTCAAGGAGATGGCAAGTAAATTAACCAGAAAAAGAACAAAAGACTTGAGTGGGAGCAGTTTAGAATTCATTAAAGGAGGGCCAAGAATTTAAAGGAAAATCAAGTCTGAGAATAACCTTGCGAGGAATGTAAAAACTGACCATAAAAAATTTGTACAGGTGCGTGAAGAGAAAATGGTCAAAGACAAATGTAGGTCCCACAGTCACAAATGGGAATTTATAATTGGAAACAAAGAAATGACTGACCAATTAAATACATGCATTAATTCTGTGCTCACAAGGGAGGGCACAAGTGACATACTACCTAACATTTCTAATGAGGGAGAACCTGAAGGAAATCAATATTGGTGTTGGGGAAATTGACGGGATTGAAAGCTGATAGGTCCCTAGGAACTGAATCTACATCCCATGGAACTTGATGTGGCTGTAGAAATAGCAAATCTATTGGTGGTCATCTTCCAAGATTCTTTAGACTCTGAAGCCGTTCCCACAGACTGGAGGGTAGCTGATGTAACTCCATTATTTATGAAGAGGAGGTATGAGGACCAAGAATTGTAGACCAATCGGCCTTGTCGGTAGTGGGGAAAATCCTAGAGTCTGTTATAAAATAATTAATAGCTATGTATTTGGAAAACATTGGCAGGATTGGGCAGAGGTAGCACGGATTTACAAAAAGGGAAATCATGCGTGACAAATTTACTGGAATTCTTCAAGAGTCTAACTAGTAGATTTGATGGGAGGATGCCAGTGGAGGTGGTTTATTTGGACTTTCAGAAGGCTTTCAACACAGTCCCACAAGAGATTAGTGTAAAATTCAAGTACATAGGATTGGTGGTAGTTTGGTAATATGGATAGAAAACTGGCAACAGGAATCAACAGGTCTTTTTTCAACATGGCCAACAGTTGGGTACTGCAGGGATCGGTGCTAGGATGACACCTGTTCACAATATCAATGAATTAGATGAGGGAGCTAAATGCAATATCTCCACATTTGCAGAAGACAAAGCTGGGTTGGAGGGTGAGCTGTGAGGTGAATGGAGAGGTGTTTGTGATATGGATCAGATGACTGGAGAAATGCATGGCAGATGCAGTATAAATGTGAGGCTGTCCCTGTTTTTGCTTCAAAAAAAAAGTGAAGGCAGATTATTATCTGGCTTTTCCATGCTGTAGACCTCTGACTTTAAGTTGAGAGGGGTGAATGTGCATTGACACCAGTGTGTCCTTGTGCACCAGTTGCTGAAAGTATGCATTCAGGGCAGCATATGGTGATGAAGGCAAATGGTATGTTGCTCTTCATAGCAAGAGGATTTGAGCACAGGAGCAGGGGCACCTTGCTGCAGTTATATAGGGCCTTGGTGTGACCACACCTGGAATACTGTATGCAGTTTTGGCATCCTTATTTGAGAAAGGATGTTGTTGGTATGGAGGAAGTTCAATGAAAGTTTACCAGACCTGGAATAGAGACCATGTAACTATTGCTGATTGTCATAAAAATCTATCTGGTTCACTCAGGTCCTTTTATCAGGAAGGTAGTCTGCAATCCTTATCTAGTCTGGCCTACATGCGACTCCAGACCCATAACAATGTGGTTGACTCCTAACTGTCCCCTGGATGGGCAACTAATGCTGGCCCAGCCAGCAAACCCGCATCCCATAAATGAATAAATAGTTTGCAAGTTGGCAAGGCGCATCCAATGAATGAATACAATTTGCAAATTGGCATGATTCAGAAAATCGTTCAAGTGGGGGGTGGGGCAAAAATAAATGTAGCAGTGGATGGTTGGCGATGCTGGTGTGTAGTAGCCACTGTTCTCTACATCAGAGAGTCCAAACTGCTGTGTTGCCTGCCTAGTGCTTGAGGTTGAAAGGAAGTGGTAGTGGCTGTGGTCCATGTATGTACCAATAGCATCGGCAGGCCATTGAAGGAGATTCTGCCTAATCAATGTGACGAGCTAGGCAGTCAATTGAAATGCAGAGCCTCGGTTTACAATTTTTACACCTTGGTTCTAGCAATAGATGTAAATTAGGAGGTAAAAGGGAGAGAGGAATGTGCTGAAATTGCAATCACTAGGCTAGAAGTACTAAGCAAACTGTTAGTGTTGCAGACTAACAAGTGTCCAAGTCCAGATGGATTTCATCGTTGAACCGTGAGATGTTGTTAATGAGCTAGTAATATCTTGGTGTTAATTTTACAAAATTCCCTAGATTCACAAAACATTCCATTGTACTAACATGCAGCAAATTCTACTCAAGAAGGGAAGGGGGCAGAAAATAAAGCTATAGATCAGTTAGCTTGACGTCTGTTGTGAAGATCTTTGAACAGATTATTAAAGAGATTATACCTGTGTAAAGCAAGATAATTGGGAAGAGTCAGAATGGTTCCATCAAAGGAAAATCATTTTTTAACCAGTTTTTTTGGAGTTCTTTTGAAGAAGTAACATGCGCAGTGGATAAAGGGGATCTTGTAGATTTGCTGGGTTTGGATTTTCAGAAGGCATCTGAAAAGGTGCCACACCACAAATTTTTGTGGGAGATAAAGGTTCAATTCAGGCTTAATATCAGCATGGATAGAAGATCGGCTGGTTGGCTGGCAGAAAACATGATGAGGTGGTTCTATGCCTGATTGTCAGGAAATGGGAAATAGAGCTCCATAGAAGTATGTATTGGGGCCACAACTACTGTAAAATTTAAATTAGTGACATAGCTGAGTGAGACGAAGATTTCACTAAATTTGCAGGTGCCGCTGAGATAGATAAAGTATGTTGGGAAGAAGACATAAAGAAGCTGCAGATGGACATAGGCTGAGTGAGTGGGCAAAAATCTGGTTGGTGAGACATCTGGAAAATATGTAGTTCAATTTGGCAGCAA